ACTGTCAGACTTTGTCTGGCAGAGAGCAGTACTCTGAACAGCTGAAAACCTTCGTAGATCTTACTCAAATTGGGGCATGTAGCGGCAAAAGATGTTCATATGAATGCGAGAGAGAGGCAGTTGGTAAAAATAATAAATATTTCATTACCTAATTGCTTTGTTACTGTTTGACGTAACAAACTAAAACTTATTTTTCCGCTTTTTAGTTCAACTGTCAAGAATACTTTTATCAATCTGAGTAATAGTTGGCCACCTTGATCTGTGCTGATAACACTAGTCGAGCTGATCCACTAAATATAATTAGCATCAAATTGCTAAAACCTCAATTGATTAGACATTTTATTTGCAGCGCAACATAAGTTTTATTTATCATTTGAAAACAGTATCTGTCGAGATTATATAACTGAAAAGATGTTTAATCGACTTGGCCGACTACTTCCTATTGTGCTTAAGAGATCTACTTATGTCGGAATTATTCCGAACGATGCTTTCATTGCAGCGGATGATTATAAATGTCCAAAAGATTTAGCTAAATACTTGAAATTTTTGAGTACCAATTATACAGCATTTTCCAGGTTTGTTTCTACGAAAAGTATGAGTGCTTAAAGTTTGTCAAGGAACTATTTCCTAAAGCTATACATCGGCGTTTAGGATGCGAGCATTTATAAAATTTGAAACAGAATTGTATATGTTTCGAAATTTTTGGTCAACAGGTCAATTGCTTAAGAAATAAATCAGTTATCACTTTTTTTAATAGATTTGTCATTTCCCTGCAAATAATTTTCCAAGCTTTATTTTTTCTGTAGTATTGTCAAGCTGTTTTTCGCTTTTTGTTGATACTTCTCAAAGGCTTGCCCGAAATACGCTTAACAACTTAATCGTTTTCCCGGCATGCAAATGCTGTGAATGAAAAAGAAAATTTAAAAGCTCTTCTCGTACGAATGCTACTCTGTGATTTGAGTCAGTGAGATAAGAAGTGACTTCTTGTCTGAATTTAGATCAAGAATAGAAGTTTTCCAAAAAAACTAGATCAAGTTGTGAAAAAAAAGAGACTGACAAGAAGTTTTGGCATGGAAATGAGCGCTGCGTTCAGCAGTTAAAATCGCTACCGTTGTCTTTTTCTGATAAAAATCTCGCCACCTTGTTCATTTTAAAGGTTTTTCTGAATCGTAGAAAAAATAATGCTGTTTTTTTTGTTTAAAAGACTTCTTCGTCGAGAAGGTTGCTAAATTTAGTAAAATATTTTGCCTTGTCGTTTTTTACTTTTTTATTAGTGGCTTTTTTTAAAAAAATTTTTTTATTTTTCAAAATCTGCTTGAGCAAATATAGTAATGAAAAATAAACGGTAGTAGCGCGCTACCAAAAGGTTATTCTTTTTCAAAACACAGGATGGTGTAATCTGAGGCTGCAATAGCGAGACTGTGTGCCTTGCTCGAATAAACTTTACTGTACAGAATGAAAATAATGCTTTGCAGTACGCAGCTAGAAAGCAGAATCTTCAGCTCTAATAAAGATCAGTAAAAGTTTTATTTGAAAATTGTACAGTGAAAAAATGTGACTTTTATGGTCATAATTCTCGAGAGTTTTGTTAACCTATCTTAAAGCTTTAGAAAGTGTCTTATTGAAGCAGAAATAAGAGCTAAAGAAGATGCAGACGATAGCAGATGGGAAACCAATAAAAAGTAATAAAAAATGAAATGTCGTAAATAATGGTAATGCAACAGTATCAGCAATTCAGTCTCAGCTGGAAAGTCTTCGTTGCAGTTCGGCAATATGCTTCAAAATAAATTTTCTGCGCTTTAATCTGCATATCTCTTTGGCAGACATTTTAGCATGTTCATGTGGTATTTTATTTGCAATGAAGCCTCGCTTTTAGGAAGAATAGGCGAACAGTTTATAAGATGACTTTAACTCAGCTACAGTAAAGAGAGCAATGACACACTTTAATGCAGCATACTTTTTTCTCCAATATAAAATTTATATTTCACTTTTGAAAAAATTTATTTCAATTTTCAACTTTAATTTATTTTTTAGTGCTTTGTGAGAGTTTTTTTGCTACTTCAAGGGAAAACATTTGTGTAACAATCCGCGCAAAAATTTTCTACTTCTTTAACGGTTGTGAACTCCTCAAAAGCGCATATCCATGTAGACTTCTTAATTCTACTAAAGCCATTGCAGCATAATTCAGCTGCTCATTTATACAGAAAAATTTTCAAAATGTGTAGGATAGTTTACCAGAGAGATAGAAGTTGTAAGTTGCGACTCAATGAGATGTATTTTTTAGTAATGCTATTAGCTGTTTAGGTACTTTAAATGGATAAAGTACTATGAGGTTAACAGAGAATTTAATGGTTGTGGGTTATGCAAATACCTCTACGAGAACCGTGGAAGCGTAAAAATTATTCCAAGTATTAGAGAATGGTGGTATGACAGTGGAAACTGTGAACCTGGTTATGCAAGACGCTTGACGTGTCAGCCGTAGCGCATAAGAATCCTCACGGACGTGAATTGCAGGAGAAGAAGTACGGCATCGTTAGCTCGCAGTAGAAAAAAATGTCGATCTGAGTGCAATAACAAAAACCACTTTTTCCGAAGCAGTTAAAGGTTGACAAAGTCAGTTATAAATGTTTGCAATAATTATTCTGCTGACACTTCGCTAACAACAGCTTTTGCTGTCAGTCGCATTTATTCCCTCAAATTAATGTTTGTAAAATTTGTAAGTATAAATTCTTTTTTAACTTTGGTTGTAAAAAGACATTATTGTTTTTCATAAAATGTTTTAATCATTTTAAATTGAGGGGTCTGCTAAGAAGTTAACGCTTGAATCATTTTGCAAATAAACCCAATTCTGTCTGCGGATTCTCTTGTATTTCGTTGTTCCTTACTGTTGTGGAACTGGCTGCTGTCCTTGTCAACGTTGACATTTATTCCTCTGTCTAAACCCAAAACCACTGTGCATTCGGAACATAAACTAGCAACAGATCGTATAACAACAACCAGTGATATTTGGTAAATCCAAACAAAAGGTCTAGGAATAGTGGTTTTTGAAAATAAATAGCGGTTAAAAAAGTTCTCATTGATTGTATTTATTCAGAATTTAGAACGCTATTTGCCAGTACAGCTCAGTTTTTCTCTAGTCCTCATTATGGCAACAGTTTTTGTTTTAAGCCGTTAATAAATGTAACTCTGGTGGAAGTTTAATTATGGCAAACCTCTCAGTTCTGGGTCTAGTCTTTAGTGCCGTAAAACAAAGAGCCAAAGGTTCTAGCTCATTAATGAACTGTATGCAGTTTGAAGTCTCACTGGATAAACGTCTAAGAAAGTTTCTTCAGTTCTGGCAAGTATCTAAATTTAGCTGAGCGACTCAGCGCTCTATTTCACTGTATTTTTTGAAGTTCTCTAGTCCAAACGCTGTTTCTGTTTCAGCAAGTGTTCAAAGAAAGGAGGATCTTTAAGTT